TGAGAATGTCGAGCAATGGTTGGTGACTTGATAAAATGTTGACCTATGTTGTTTTTCCTATATAACATCTATCACAAATAGTTGGTAGCATGAATTGATCTACTTACCCAAACAGTGCCATAGAAACCAGTAAACCTTTCAAACTTGGCACAGCAGATTTTGTTTAAAGGCGTCCACTCAATAAACATTGATAAATCAATCCTCACAAGTGTCCAATCCTTGAGTTCAACAGGAACATGGACGTTCACCATCATTCACTGTCTTATTATCAGAACTGCTTGGAATGTCGGTAAATTGAGAATCCGTGGTTCACAATTGGATTCGGCTGCCGATACATCCCAACTGCAAGCGTTGTATGTATGTATTCCATGTACTCCCGTTCTTATTTTGTTCCTCACTTCAGGCCATGTAGTATCATGTCCCACTGCTTACTGCAGTTGGTGGTTGAACAACCCATAAGATCTATGTAAATGATGATCTGTTTGAAAGTTACCCTCTGGTAAATTAACATAGACCCTGGCAGATAGAGGTTGGAAGATTAGTTTCCATTGAAACTGTGCTATTTTCAGGGTGTATGTTAATTTACCAGAGGGTATCCGTCAAACTATTTCAACAAAAGAAACGTGTTTGAAACCAACGAGGATTTAAGTGTTTCCATTGGCGCTGAAACCAACCATGTTTTAGTGGTTTTTCAATCACCAGTCGAACAATATGTTTGTTCAGAACGTTTGTCAAACATTTCAACATTCATATATTCTATAGTTCTACTTTCAACATTCACCAATTTAGATTGCTAAGCAAAACAATAATGGCTGAAACTGTTGGTGAAATCACCATAACTTTAATTATTACTGAGCCCAACAGTGCCACTTCCAATCGTCAAACCACCACCTTGTTGCAGGGGCATTCACCCCGGCCGCCTGCCGGAAAGGATGCCAGGCATGGCAAAATGATAGGCCTACATGTGTACTTAAGTGTGTGTGTATATATATATATATATTGACTATTGTCAAGTAGCATATATGTACCATATATGTATCATATATGTATCATATATGTATCATATATGTATCATGCATGTATCATATATGTATCATATATGTATCATATATGTATCATATATGTATCATATATGTATCATATATGTATCATGTATGTAATCATATATATGTATCATATATGTAATCATATATGTATCATACATGTATATGTATCATATATGTATCATATATACATGTCATGATACATATATATATATGTATTATATGTATATATATATATATATACATGTGTGGTATATATATAAATATGTATATGTATTATATACTGTGTATAGTGTGTATATCATATATATATATATATATCATGTTATGTATGTTGTATATATATATATATTTATTTTTTTATATATGCAGATATGCTTGCTGCTTCCACCTCTGGGGAAGCAATGACGAGTCCCTTGAGATCATCCCAAGAAAAACCGGCGAAAAAGCTCGTGTAAAAGGTAGATTTTATTACAATTAAATACAAAACCCTGTAATGATCATGATTAATCATGCACGAAGCATAATTTCGGCATATCAAGTGTAACATAGTATAACTATAACTACCCATGACTTTGATGGTCAAAACATGTTGCGAGCAGGTTCAAACTCTTAGAAATGATGCAACAAAATAACACTTAAATCATCTTACAAGCTACCAGTAACTCGTCACCCGCTGGAAATCACACATGGCGTGCTGGAAAATCATCCAGCAGAACCCTCTGGTAATCGAACCTGGCCATGGGAAATCCCCCCTAGAGGTTTCTAGCTGGGAAAATCATCTATAAAAATTCTATATTTTTATCTATAAATATGGCAGTGTGTCAAAACCTTGTACCCCTGGTGAACATCAAAATAGCTGGTAAATGGATGTTCATCCCCCTAAAAATAGTATTAATAGGTATTGATCCATACCCATATTGGGTTTTGCATTTTGCAACGCTTTGATTGCCAAAGGGTAAATACCCTCTGGTAAACTAACATAAGTATGGAAAATCACCATGTTCAATGGCTAAATCAACTATTTCTATGTGCCATTTTCAATAGTTATGTTAGTTTCCCAAAGGGTATATCCCATTAATATCCCATTAAATAACTATAAATCCAGATATTAAATGTCCATTGAGTTCCGGGATTTCCGAAAGCGGCCCAGCCTGCGACGCCAACTGTCCGGTGCTGGAACTGGATGTAGGGCCCAGACCTCCAGCTGCGGTGAATCCTACATGGTTGCCTTAAAATCGCTGGTGAATGGATGGTGATTCCCTCTGTCATAAAAGAATAGGTGTTGACATGTTTTGACACATCCCACACACCTTGGGGATGGCGATGGGGATGGAGATGTTTTGGAAGTTTGGAAAGCAGTCTTCCATCCCACAGAAATGGCAGTTTCCGTGTAAGTTGGAGGGCAATATATCCCAACAACAAGCGGATGAGATCGACGACTTGGTTTGTTTGGAATACGCAGCAACAAATTTTGTAGGCTATGTACACAGGGAAGCCAAATACGAGACAAAGCACCAATGAATAACGATTTTCGGGGACATGGTTTCAGAATACTAGCTAGCAAACAAAACAAATGGAATGTGGGATGACACAGGGGTAAAAAAAATGGCTATCTTTGGGGATACCTAGTATCACCAAAATCAGGATACCAGTAGATACAAATAATATATGTAGATCAACAAATCATATACATTATATGGATATGTCTATGAAATGTATATACACGTGTATATATACACATACAGTGTGTATATTTATCTATAGAATATATATATATATAGATATGATGGATACAACATTTTTGGATCTAAGGATAAATTATATGGACATAATGGAACATACATATATATATATATACCGGGTTCTACAGACAACCACATACAACCACAGGTATATACATTACCCGCGCAACCTCCACCTTCTCAATGTTGTGCTTGGAAGTGCCGAACACCCATGAACAGAAATAGAAATGGCCGTTTTTTTTGAAGGCCGCCAAACACATAATTCAGAGTACAACATTGAATTGGGGGACGGGGGTGACATAACGTCTATGGTGTTCTACTTTATAGGATGGCTGTTTTTTTTGAAGAACCCGGTATTATAACATAACAATATGTGTGTACAATACATAATACCATGCGCATCCATACACCAAGCCACTGCACTCCCAAATGAGGAATGACAAAACCTGTTTCACCCGCGCATATCCAAATCTTGAGGCAATGTCCTGATCCTGCCGCTATCAGCTGTCATGTATCGCACAAACATTGCCGCACATCACGTTCCAACATACAAAGCAACACAAAACAATCAGAAACAAATGTCATAAACTGTCGACTGGATATTCCTGATTGCCTTGTTTGCACTAATTGAACTAATTGCAGTAAATGCAATGTTCTGTTCATTGAAAAAGCCTCTAGCATCCCCCCTGGAGATATGGCTGACATAATCGCGGATCAAACACAACAACTTGATACAGTTAAAGAAACCTCAATATCAGTTGGTTCCATTGTTGTGTTGTTGCAACCATAGTTTATTGTTATTTATTCACCTTATGTTTTTTCCAGGACATAACTCATGTCTGAAAATTGGCTGCAAGTTTTCCTAGGGCTCTGGCGGATGGATCGGCGATACGTGGAAGGACCTTGGTTTTGGTGTTCAAGCAGCCAACTATGAGGGTTTCCGCTGTTATGGTTCAAGGCAATTCGAAGTAGAATGACCTTAGTGAACAGCCTGCTTATAACGGTTTGATCCTGGATTCATTCCTCAGAACTTGTCAAGGCCACTATGTGAAATAATTATTGTTTTTTTCAACAACTGAAAAATAACTATATCTCACAAGATTATCTTAATTGCTATAACCTAAAACGCCTATAACTTAAAATTGTTAGTTCTTTGAAGATACAACAACAAAAAACTGGGGGTTTCTGAACATGGGATATACCACAATTTTCAGCAATTTTGAAAACAGGAACGTGATTTCCTTAACCGTGGATTTTGGGGCTTGCAACTTTCAGAGAAAGCCACAGGTATATAAGTGTATATATATATAATATATGGAACATGTTGTAATATGCGTATACATACATATATATATATATATACAGCATATACACATGAGTTCATATTATATATTTTGGGGTGCCCTGTGTTCAGATATTTTTGGGGAAACCGCCTGGAAAGGAACTTCAATAGCAAAACATATCATGAATCTAGTTATGACTGGGGATTTTTGTTGGGATATGAAAATCTTGAAAAAAAACAACGATATGGAAGATGTTGGGAGGTCAAATCTAGCCAACAAAAAGTGGCACCCTCTGGATAGGACTAAAAGTTCGCCATGGTATAGATGGCCCTAATCGAAATAGATGGTTTACCGAACTTAATAGCATGGTGATATCTTTCCATGGCAAACTGTTAGTCATGACCAGATGGTACATCCTATTAAATCCCACTAAATCCCATTAAACCGTCATAAAACCACCATAAATCCCTGTGAGTATAACCAGATGGTAGATGACTTTTCCAGATGTGCTTAGTTTTTGGAAGGTGAAATCCTCGTGGGTATCCTGCCCGATCCCGGCTGGGATCCGCGACCCTGCCAACGACTCACGGTCACCACTGGTCTGGCGACGGATCTAGCTAGACCTTGACTATCATCAAGAAAAACCATTAGAAAGGCATATGGCAGTGTGTCAAAACCTTGTACCCCTGTAGTTCACATCAAAATAGCTGGGATTTATGGATGTGAATAACCCACTAAAAATGGTATTAATAGGTATTGTAGAACAACTGGGGGAAAACTAGCAGTCAAAGCAAGAACGGTGCACCTGTTTTCAACTACTGCCAACTCGTGAGCCTGTAGCGGCACATAAGTAAATGACAAATGATGCAAGCCCAAACGTCCCAACTGTACATTTCACACTGCTAAAAACTCTATGTTGGGCTTGCACATCAAAAAGGCAACCTGATGATACGGACGTTCATCCACCAGGTGCGTATGTCCGTCAGGACTTTGGTCAGGATGTCGGCCATTTGTGATCCTGTAGGAGCCCATCGCAAAGTCTTCCCATGTGGCAAGGAAGAGCCCCAATGTTCTGCTTCATCGGAGACCATTCGGCGCAAAGCTGTCAGATCGACAACTAAGCGCTTCTCACTTGGGGCCTTCGGGCCGCCCACCCTGTGCACATTGTCGTAGACAGACTTACAGTCAGTCAAACTCACCACTGGAAAGAGCCCACATGCTTCGGCCTCAGAGACACCACGTGGTCGACCATGTAGAGCTCCTGCAATGAAAGACCTCAGGCAGAGAGCGTCTTCCCAACCTTCCAAGCTGGACATGACTTCTGCAGCGAAGGTGCTGCGACATACCCTCGGGCACGCGTGTGATCTCCATCCCATGACCATGGTCGGCGTCTCCTGTCCGGTCAAGGCACGACGACCGGTGAGGAGGAGAATGTGTCCCAGCTGGGAGTACACCCCTTGGCCTCCAGACGCCAAGTAATCGTCGTAGTCGTCGATGTCGGGGTCCAGGGAAGCGTTTGCCCAGGCTGCGTCGTGGTACACAAGGAGGAGCAAGTCGTCAAAGTCTTGAGCGACCTTGGTGAACTTGAGAGGTTCTCCTTTTCCTGCCTGTGCCAGCTTCACTAGCTTGTTGGTATTCTTCACGTCTTGGTACGTCGGTTCCTTCTGGCGGCGTTGTGCCAGAGAGACCCCAGCTTGCAGATCAGGTCGAGTCTGGGATGCCAACCAAGAAAGTGCCGCGATCGTGCTCATGTTATCCTGTTTGGTGATCTGGTCGGCCATGTTCTCTGCAACAGCGTCCTTGGGGATGTCGACCGTCTCCAAGCGGGAGTTGACATAGGCGGTTTGGTAGAGCTCGATGGTGTCATTCTCCTGCTTGATGGTGGCGCCAGTGTACTCAAAGAGGTCGGTCTCCCACTCGGCAATGGGGAAGATACCAGAAAGTCCTTGTTGTAATAGGTCCATCTCCAAGTAGGGGGCTGCCACCAGAAGGTCATCGACGTGGGTGATGAGAGCACCACGAAGCTTCCCTGATCCATCACGCAAGGGGAAGAAACAAGGATCCAACTCATGGTGTGAGAGAGTCAAAATGTCCTCCCCCACTTTGATTTCCAAAGCCAGCAGCTCTTTGACCAGCTTGTCCCACCATAGGCGTGGGGAGTTCGACAAGCCAAAGACCCCTTTGACGATCTCCACCAAGGACCCAGGTTCCACTCCAGGAAGGCCACGGCGTGGAGGTTCAAAGTAGAGTCCCCGTTTAGACTCAATGCCATTGAGGAAGGCTGCTTCCACATCCCCGGCTGCCAATTTCCAACCAAATTGAGCTGCTAGAAATAGTAGCACGTGGAGCGACATCCGGGATGCAGTTGGAGCTTCTGTGTTAACCTCCCCTCTCTTCAGGTCAGGGTCCATGTGGCCACCTACACAAAGCCGAGCTTTGGCCTTGGCAGGTATAGCTATCTTCACGTCGTTTTGCCACATTCTTGTCTCTGTAGGCAAAACGGGCTTTCAAAATGCGTTCCCGAGGAACTGCACGACGTAGATGTTCGGCTTCTTGAGGTCCATACACCCGAACTGCTCCGTAGTGGAGATGCTCGGCCCACTGTTTTGCCTCAGCGGCATGGTAAAGAGGTCGTTCATCCTCAGGGATGTCTTCCCACCTCACTTCCTTGTCACTCTGTTTAACAAGGGAGCGTGGAACCCTTTTCTCCACCATTAGAGCTTGAGCGGCAGGTCTTGAGCTAGCGGCTGCTTCTACTTCTGTGTCCAGTAGATCCTCCAGGTCAGAATCTGGTACTGGAGGCAGTGGTTTTGATCTGTTCGGCTGATCGTCCGCTCCTGGTGGTGCAGGTCTTTTGTGCATTCGAACTACACCTTTTGTTCGTACTCGGCGTTCAGGAACGGCCTCATAGGTCACCTGGCGCTTCGGGTCGATGGGGTCGGTGGCATCAGCAAAGACCTCGTCGTCGCTGTTGTCCAAACGATGCACCAGTCGCATGAGGTCATCCTTCACGGTCTTCGTTTGGAAGGCCAAGCCTAACTCTTCAGACTCGGCAGGTCGAAGATGTTCAGCAGCGCAAAGGACACATCGGCCACCACGGGAAACCCAGTAGGATGAGCCCTCCTTTCCGACCACAACTCCTGGCCCGATCCATTCACCTACGTTCTGTCGTTTCCTGGCTTTGCCCCCAGCAGTCTTGTTAACTCTGTAGATGTAGACGTAGTCGCCCTGCTCGAAGACCTCCACATTCGACCGTGGTCGTCCAAGTAGAGCTCGGCGTAGTGTGGAGTCAGCCTGTGTCTGTAAAAAGGCTTCCCGAGCAGCAAGACGGATAGTCTGACGACGACGCCAAACCTCATCTGGGGAGCGTAGTTCTTCTCTGTAGTAGAGGTTCGAGTCCTCGTCCAAAACGGCATCGCCAAGGCGAGGTTCAGCTCCAAAAAGCCACTGTGTCGGCGAATAGCCATGTTTCCGTCGGAGGTTGTTCTTGGCCGCAGAAACCATGGCCAGGGTGTAATTGATCTCATCCTTGGAAGGGCTGCTATGAGCCACCGTGCGGTCCCACATTGCACGGTACCATTCACCTTGTCTTTCGATGGCCCCTTGTTGCCAGTGTGCCTGACCAGCAATAAATCTCACTGTGGACCCAGCCATCTCGACGCCGTCCACAAAGTCCTTGATGAACCCTCTCTCTTGGTCACATGTTACCTTCATAGGAGGCCCTGCCCAGACCATCCAGCAGTCGGTGAAGTCGGCCAGAAGGTCAGTGGACTTCCTGCCACGTATCTGTTTGACCACGTGGTACCCTGAGGCCATGTCAAGCACTGACAAGACTTCGACTTTGTTGTTGTCAGCGTCGAAGAGGTTGATCGTGTCCAAGCAGACCTCCTGGTTGAACTCCAACGGCCGAACCAATTTAGCCGGTCTCCTCGTACCCGGGCTGCCCAAGCGCGCACAAGTGCTACAGCGTAGGCTGTGAGCAGCTTTCACTGCTGCTTCACTTGCTCCAGATAGTTTGAGGTGCCGAGCCAGGTCATGGTTGGCCGGGTGACCCAAGTTCTGGTGGACACGACGTAAGGCCTTGGCCAGATGAGCAGGTACATGCGCAGGGAATTCGATGCTGGTCAACTTGGGTTCTGGTACTTCTTGATCGTCGCCAACAGCCTCCTGAGCTGCCAGTGCCTCCCAAGTTGGATGAGCAGCATCATGTGAGCACAGCGGTGCCCATACGCTACTAGACATGTTCTGGTAGCCCTCAATGACAGCCCTACAAAACGCCTTGGTGTAAGCCCCAGCAGGCTTGGTGTTTCGCCCCTCGGTTGGGGTATGTTCATGGCCCCCAGCGCAAGTGCGCCTCAGGCCCTTCAACAGCTTTGGGTCAGTTGAAGCGATCTTCGTAGGTTTCCTGAGCCTACCGCCATCCGTGACGGCCCTCAAGTCATATCTGCACATGTCCAGATCTGAGGTGACGACAAAGTCATTGTCCATAAAGCTCTCCATTGATCGATCAGTCCAAAGTTCAGAATACTTCGGATGTTCGAACATCACCTCATTACCGTTGGCGATCTGGTTCCAAGCACACTCCACAGCAAAGTGGATGAGTCTACGTTGTTCAGCACGAGCTCGACGTAGAGCTTGTTGGCGTTGGGCATAGTTTAGCCGTTGCCACTGGGACCACTTGGTGCAGGGCAATGCCACCCACAACAGCTTCGGCTTCTTGTAGTTGATATCGTTGAACACTGTCTCTTGCTGAAGAGGGTCAAAAAGATTGTGTCCCAAGAGGATGTCCCTCGGCTCCAAGACATTGTAGCCCTTGGCCGCAAACTCTTCAGTGAGATGGGCAGAGCCTGCAAAGAGCTCCAACAGGGCAATCTCCTCCTTCTTGCCCTGGAAGGTGTTCGGCCCCAAGACTGCCTTGCACAAATCCTGGGCAGGCTCGACCACAGCTTCGTGTAGTTCAGCCACGACCGGAGTTGCCAGAGCCATCAAAGTCGTTGTGAGGCACAAGAGAGTCTTGTGCACCCAGCTCTTCACCCGCTTCTTGGCCACCCTCTTCATCCGCTTGGACGGAAGATTACGCACCTCCTCAAAATCCTCAGGGTAGTGCAACTTGATCCTTGGGTTCTTAGTCTCCTTCTCGAGGTCATACTCATTAATGTCCAAGGGGTCAGAGGCGGCCTCACCAGCAAGGAGCTCGTCATTGTCAAGCTCGTAGGTCTCGGCAGAGATGGCATTGATGTCGAGCGTGTTGTCATTCTCAGTGATGTAGCAGCTTCGGGCCCTCATAGATCGCCGAAGCTTGTGAAGCTCCTCCATCTTCTTCCAGTAATCCCTCCGCTTCTCCTTGGTGCGTGAGATCAGGCTTGTTCTCCCTTCTTCTTGTCCTCCTCCTTCTTCACTGCACGAAGTACCTGTAGACGGCTCTCCATGTCCTTGATCTGATCCTCCACCCTAAGTCTCGAAAGTTAGTAATTTTACTCGCCCTGAATTTTACGTAAAATCGACTGTTTTACTAACGTTATTTTACGTAAAATTTTACTAACGTTAGTAAAATTTACTAACGTTAGTAAAATTTTACTAATGTTAGTAAATGATTTTACTAACGTTAGTAAAATTTTGCATGCTTTCAAAAATTGTGAAAATTGCGTTTTTTTTTCTAATGTTTTTCTTAGGAATTCTGATATTTTTTGTGATGTGTCTGATTGTGGTTTGCGATGATTTGGTTATGAGTGGGGTGTTTTCAGTGGAGGATTTCAATCGATATGTTGTTGTTACTGTAGAAGAAACTGCACTTATGTGTTGAGGAATGACTTTACATGAGTTTGTATTGGAGACTTTACTTGCGATTTTATATGAGGAGTTCTTGATACTTTCTTGGGACTTTACCTGAGAGTTCTTTTGAGATGTTATGTGAAATCGTGTACATCTATATCTATATCTATATATCTATATAAACATATAAACTGGATTTACATAATAATAGGTGAATCCACAAAAGGAATTTACATTGGATCTTGACTTTAAGAAGTCATTGCAAAGCATTTACATTTGAAAAAGAAAGTCTAGATAAATTTTTGGGTAAATGAGACTAGGTGAAATATCAAAGCAATAATAACCACATCTTATCATTTTTCCCAGGCAAGGAAAGTGAACCAAATTTTATTGGATCAGGTTTGTTTGCTACAAAACTTGATCAACTTACATTAAAAAAAAAGTGTCCATGGGGACTGAAGACATGTCTTTTTCAAAGCTAAATTTAAAAGGGAGCTCATAGACTCTTGCGGTGCTTTTTTTCTCATACAATTTGGAGAAGGTCTGGATGAAATCCTGGTAAACCTTTGGCTGGCTTGAAAAGATACATCCAAGAAGTCTTAGTGAGACCCTTACTCCACTTTCAATTCCATATGAATATTTTTTCACATGTGTCCAAAGTTTTTTCAGAAAAATGCTTGAACACGGTCAAAAATGCAATGCACTTCTGATGCTTTTGGTGCACTTTTGATGCACTTTTGGCGCACTTTTGATGCACTTTTGGTGCACTTTTGATGCACTTTTGATGCACTTTTGATGCACTTTTGATGCACTTTTGATGCACTTTTGATGCACTTTTGGTGCACTTTTGATGCACTTTTGATGCACTTTTGATGCACTTTTGATGCGCTTTCAAAAGTGATGCACTTTTGATGCACTTTTACCGCTTTTTGATGCACTTTTGATGCACTTTTTAAAAGTGCATCAAAAGTGCGTCAAAAGTGCGTCAAAAGTGCGTCAAAAGTGCGCCAAAAGTGCGTCAAAAGTGCGTCAAAAGTGCGTCAAAAGCGCGTCAAGAATTTATGGCATTTTTCTTGGAAAAAATAAAAGATGATAAGGTTCTCTCTCAAAAAGAGATTGCATGCATTGAGTTTGAAGTAAAACTCATTCAGTGCAGTCTCAAGTAAGGTGCAAAGTGCAATGATAGCAACCTCAGTAAAGTTCACTGACAACAGTCTCAAGTAAAGCTCACTGGCAACAGGCCCGAGTAAAGTTCATTGGATGCAGCCTCAAGTAAAGTTTATTGGATGCAGCCTCAAGCAAAGTTCATTGGATGCAGTCTCGAGTAAAGTTCACTGACAGCAGTCTCAAGTAAAGTTCACTGACAACAGGCTCAAGTAAAGTGCACTGACAACAGTCTCAAGTAAAGTTCACTGACAGCAGGCTCAAGTAAAGTTCATCGGATGCAGTCTCAAGTAAAGTTCATTGGATGCAGTCTCAAGTAAAGTTCATTGGATGGAGTCTGAAGTAAAGTTCATTGGATGCAGTCTCAAGTAAAGTTCACTTACAGCAGTCTCAAGTAAGGTTCACTGACAGCAGGCTCAAGTAAAGTTCACTGACAAAAGGCTCAAGTAAAGTGCGGTCACAACAGTCTCAAGTCTAGTTCATTGGATGCGGTCTCAAGTAAAGTGCACTGACAGCAGGCTCAAGCAATGTTCATTGGATGCAGTCTCAAGTAAAGTTCACTTACAGCAGTCTCAAGTAAAGTTCATTGGATGCAGTCTGAAGTAAAGTTCATTGGATGCAGTCTCAAGTAAAGTTCACTTACAGCAGTCTCAAGTAAAATTTATTGGATGCAGCCTCAAGTAAAGTGCAGTGTCAACATTTTCAAGTAAAATCTTTATGCAGAAAAGTTTCTTGGATCTGTTTTAATGTAAAGCCAACCTCAGCGAACAGCAGCAGCACTTATTTTTTTCACACCCCAATGCAAGCTATCAGGAATTGACCGTCTATCTTTCTTTCAGAATGTTTTCGTTTTGCGGCAAAGGACATATCCTTATGCAGGTTCCACATGCTAATTGCTTCACATTCCTCAACAATATTTGCATATTCATTCTGCTTCTTATATCAAATTCGAGGAAATTCGAAAACCTATCACACATCTTCTGGCACATTTTTGATGCATTTTTGATGCACTTTTGATGCGCTTTTCCTTTTTTTAACATTTTACTAATTTTGCAAAAATCAACAAAAATTTTACGTAAAATCTTCTGGATTAGTAAAATTACTAAATTAGTAAAATTACTAGCTTTCGAGACTTAGGGCACCGACTGGTCCGCCTCGGAGATCAGGTCGAAGCCGCTGCTTGTGTCCTCCTCGATGCGACGTGTCCTCGATGTTCTTGGTTGTTTGGCCGTCATCAACGCCTTCACCTTGGCTTTCGGTAAAGCCTCTTGTGGCACTGGCGAGATGGCCAAGCGCTCTGGATCCCCACTCCCTGATGGTGCTCCACGAGGTGGCTTGTTCTTCTCCGCGTGAGCCCATCTGGCCAGACGGCCCAGATCCGGTGAGTGCTGTGGGTTGCTGCTCACCTCCTTGATGGCCCAATTGAGGTAAGCCCAGTTGACTTCCTTGTACTTGTATCCCTTGTGAGACCCAAAGGTCACCTTCTCCTCTCCGGACGGGGGCAGGTTGTCCCGCAGCATCTTCATCAGTAAGCCGCGTGTCGGCTTTGGTGGGAGTGCAAGCCCCTCCTCGGCACACTTCTCCTTCAGGGCATCCAAGGACATGTGGGTAAGACCCACAACCTTGTGGGTCGTGTCGCCGCGAGCTTCCCGAGCTTCCAGAAGGGTCGCCCGCAGCTCCGGCACTGTCCAATCGTACCGGACGGGGATCTCCATGTCTTCCAAGGCTTCCACCAGCTCGTCGCGCTTCATCTTCCATGGCGACGGTGTTGCAGTCTTGGACATTCGCTGAATCTCGAATTGGGGTGTCACGAGTTTGTGACGTCACACGTCGGCGACGAAAACGGCTGCGGCCAATCCAAAGAAATTCAGCTCGTGGTGCTGTGTCATCATGCCATTGATGTTCGAGTCGATATGTCAGGCCGTTGCCATAGCATGGAATGCATGTTGTCTCTCGGGTGTTGTCCAAAAGTTGTAAAAGTCTGGACTTGAGATTCAGGTCAGATGTGGTCCAACGTCCTGGGTCAAAACAAGTCCTCCGTGGTGTGACATGCACTCTGATCATGTAATCCTCATCTTCAATCCAAAAGTCTCGTGAATGAACTTGTTGATTCCACCAGTGCAAAAAGGTTTCCGGGGCCAAAACATCATTCGACAGCATTTCCATGACATGACCATGAACTTTGGGGTAAAAGAGTCGACAATTGATCCCAGGAGCAGCATGCACCATGTATGCTCGAGACGCCTCAGAATCTGGTGCTAAAATGTGGACTTCCGTCACACTCCAGTCCACCCCTTCCGGCCATGTTGGCACTTGGGGTGTTTCACCAAAATCCAAAGCATTGACCTTTGGATGGCCAGATGCTGTGAAACTCAAAGCCACGTCCACCAGTTTGAGCTTGGGGAAGTCCGCCACGTTGGTGTCCATCTTGTAGTTCATCCCCAAGGAGGCCAGCACAGGCCTGCTAAGAAGGAGTGGTACCTGAGCTGAGACGATGGAAATCTTGATCATGAACCATCGCCCAGCAATGGCTAGCCACCCCACAATTGCCCTCGTAGAAGGATAAAGACGTGGTCCACCAAACTTGAAGTGCTCCTCCTGCTCGATGACGATGTAGGGGATGCCGAACTTCTTGAGGACCTCCAAGTACTTCTTGCACCATGCCACACCAGCCAAAGTGCGGCTGCAAGCACAATCCACCACGGTGTCGAGGTCCATGTTGTCCGTGTAGAAGACGACGTGGGTGATATGGGGGGCACCTTCACCAGACTTGCCCTTGTTCTTCGGACACTCAATGTCCTTGTGCCAGTGTCCCTTCTTGCCGCATGCCGAGCAGAAGGAACGTGATTTGGCCTTGGCTAAGGCCTCTTCCCGGGTCTTGGCTGGATTTGTGCCCCTTGCCTTGAGCACGTCGCTGTATTTGGCCTTCGCATTCTGGTAGGCCACAAATGCCTCATGTGCCTCAGTGTCATCCTCATCCGGTGACTCCTCATCGCCGTAGGGCTCGACGTCGTCCAGGTCGTCGAGGTACTCCGGAATGTCGTCGAGCTCAGTGATGTAGGCCTGTTGATTCTTCTTCCCATGACGATCATCTGACTTCCTGGAAGTCTCCCAGATACGTCGGTTCATACGGTCCTGAACCACTGCAGCTTCTTGCAACTTGCCCAAGTCATACTGGTTGTTCACGGAGGCAAGCAAGTTCAATTCCGTGGAGTTGTCAAGCCGCATCTTGTCGATGTACCACCAAGAGCTGCAAAGTCCAGGAAGAACGCAGCCAACCTCCTTCAGCTTGGCCAGGTGGCGGTCAAATTCACTGTTGTAGTCCCTGATGTCCTGGCTCGGGCCCTTCTTGAAGAACTTGAAAAAGTCGCTCATGTACTTCCCGGCCTTGACCACCTCTTTGTCCAAGTAGCGCTGGGTGATCCAAGCCACATAGCGCTCCACGCCGTAGGGGTCGTCCAGGGTGGAGAGATCCAAGTCCTCCGCATCACGCCATGCCTTCCCCGTGAGGTTGTTGTAGAGCACCAAGGCCTGCTTGTTGGCCTTCAAGCGCGTGACACGCCGCCAGGCCTCGATCTTCCTCAGGTAACCTCTGGCCTTAGTTCCGTCTCTGTCTTCCTCACCTGAGAAATCAGGTACCACTATTTTGTCGCTACCACCACTACCACGTTCCTCTAGTGTCTCATCTTTCTGACTACCCCCATGACTGTTAGCCCAGGGGTCCCGCCAAGGTTGGCTCCAGGGGTCTGACTGAGTGGTGCTTGACCTCCTAGCCTGGTTACCACCATGGCCACTAGTTGACTGTCCCTCATCAGGTGCACTAGCAGTTCCCGTGGACGGCAACCCATCCCGTCCTTGGTCCCAGCTCCATGTTCCGGCGTTCCAACGCCTCCAGTCCTCATCAGTCCATCGTGGAGTCCCAGCATGCGGAGTCCCATCCCCAGCAGCAACGTCTTCGCGGCCACCACTGGACTCGGCACCCATGTCCTCCACGTCAGAAGTAGGTCCTTCAGGTGGTGTAGGCATCGAACACCGTCGGCCCACGCCACGACGCCGCAACAGCTATGGCTCCCTTTGTCCTGGATTTACGGCCTCCAGGAAAGGCTCCGCTACCAATGTAGAACAACTGGGGGAAAACTAGCAGTCAAAGCAAGAACGGTGCACCTGTTTTCAACTACTGCCAACTCGTGAGCCTGTAGCGGCACATAAGTAAATGACAAATGATGCAAGCCCAAACGTCCCAACTGTACATTTCACAGGTATTGATCCATACCCAATATGATAAATATGTTCAGTGAAATACTATATACCATGTATCCTGCAGATATCGTATAAATATACGACTACTGTATACACAGGTATAGAAATCATGCACACCGTAAACTTCAAATCTAGATTCCAAATTGTCATATATTCCAAATGGTCATATGGCCCATCATTGAAAGTCCACAACACATAAAACGGTGCTTATGTCTGGTTAAACGGTGATTTGCCATAGCAAAAACCTTCCAAGGTTCGACCAATGGCCAGGTGGCCATGCTCCCATCAAACCATGCTCTGTTCGAAACGGTGAGTCGTTCAATACGTTAAATCACAGTCGCTTTGGTGAAATGCTACAATATTGTAATTATATATATATATATACCCTCTGGTAAATTAGCATAGACCCTGGCAGTTGTCGGGTATCTGGAAGACTAGTTTCTATTAAAAATTGGTGATTTTCAGGGTCCAACTCTTAATTTACCAGGGGGTAATGGTATCTCTAGCTGGCAATTCAAAGCGCTACAATGAAATCCATCGGCCGCGAGGCTTCGGGCGTTGCTGCTGCTGTCTCATCTTTGCTGAATCATTCAGTTTGCTACTGATATACAGCAAGATCACCATCCCTTACTGAAACATTGTTTGCTGGCGCAAACCAGTTTTCAAGTCTGTCTAATCATTTGTATGTTGTTTCAACCCACTGGATAAAATAGCAAACATGGTTTTTGGTGTTCATTGACAAAATAGATGTGATTAGATGTGCAAGAAACATACCATGATCTACCGCGGAAACAGTTCTACAAGTGATTGGGTTTTCATTGGATACCTCCAATTCCAGTTCCACATGCGCAAATTGAGATTTTAGTGGTATACCTAAGAATTAAATTCTAAACGTCTATGCATTTCAGGCATGTCCCACAAAGATGGGTCTGTCTGAAAATCGGGGATTGACCCCCCCATTCATGGCAATTTTGATATCTCAAATGATGATAGCCATCAAAGTTAGAGGTCTTCCCCAAAAAATGTCTCACAAACACACTTATCATATTGTTGATTGTGAAATTATGTAGTTCATTTTACCCGGGTGTATCCCCATGATATCCCCATTGATTACAGATATAGCTAGCAGAAACCATGTAAGTAGTCTAGTTAGATTTCTACATTTCTACATAGATAGTCACATCAGTCACATCATCCTTTCTAGACTAACTGACGAATTATGAATAGTCAGATTTCCATCATTTAGTCAGTTGTATCTACCATGATGGAAATCTACCATAAATCTATCCACCTATATATACACCATTTACATCATCTAACATTTTCCAGGGGAGATTCAAAAAATATATCTACCAGGCCCGCCAGGCCGCGCCTCTGGGGGTTTGAACCCTGGTTTCCTCACGGCATCCAGGAAAGATCCATGGTATAGAATAGTGATTTATATATACATATATATACTGTATATACATACATATAGTGATTTTTATGTTATAAAATATTCATTAGTTATATATATATATATACCATCCACTATTACATATATGTATATTCATTCATTGGTGATTATTTTTTACAGTTTGGTAATTGAAACAATAAATTACCAATACACTTTGGCAATTCTAATTCTGTGGTATAGATATGGACAATTGCTGGTTTATATTAATTTACAAATGATTTAGCTAAAAATGCTGAGATTCCATAGCTACATTTAAAAAAAATAGCAAAAAGGACATGTATGTATCTGCATACATTCTGAGATACATCTGACCATCTATGTGAACATGTATTTACACATGTTACACATACTGTACCTTTTCTGAATATTCATTCATGGAGAAAAATGCAAATACCATCAAAGAATCAAACAAAGGGATTCGAAACATACATTCAATCATTCATAATATATATATATACACATAAACTCACTTCATTTTTTTCAAAATGAAAACAACGCACTTTGGACCTAAAGCACAAGAGCAATTTTGATGTTCCATGTGCGCACTTGGAACATCAAGTCTTGACTTTTGCACATGACTTAATTGCGCTCTAAGTGTTGTATTTGTGCCGGATCAAACAAAATGGAGTGTCCATTGGTCTCTCACATGTATTTATACAATTTTATACATATGTATATACATATATATATATGTATTATATATAAATATATTATTTATATATATATATACATATATATATGTACATGTTCTTTATACAATTTGTATGTACATATAATGTACATGTGAGTTAAGTTATACAATTTCATTAAACTATATAAGCATTCCGGACATACACTTGCCTGGAACTCTCTTGTGGACGTTCTGAGTGCTGAAACATTGGTATCCAAATGTTCTTAATTAATGCATACCTCGCGGCTACGCACTTAGACTTAGAAACTATGTGCTGTACATCTGATTTGTAAATCTGTATATAAGGTTTTGCAGCCGATAGGGGGTCTTTGGAATTTGATTCTAGGGTCCTTGGTGATTTAGTTCTACCTCTGATTGTGTGAGATATGTTTTCCATTATTTATTTCTTTATCTATCTTATCTATCAAGGTAGGTGGCCTTGGTAAATACTAGTGAAAATGATCCCAAAGGAAAGATCGTCTTGGGCTAGTGTCCCTTGGATGTTTCAATATATTGTTAATTCTTATCCGCCATTCGGCAATCATGCCAAGATGGGGGTTGAGAATTAGTGTCTCCATCCATTTACCCTTCTATTCGTGGAAGTGCCAGTCAGAACAAACGATCACCATTCGATCGTAGTTCAAATAGTTTTTTTTGGTTGGGTACTTTGATAAAATATTAAATTATATATATATATATATCAATATATGCAGCGGATAGGGGGTCTTTGGAATTTGATTCTAGGGTCCTTGGTGATTTAGTTCTACCTCTGATTGTGTGATATATGTTTTCCATTATTTATTTCTTTATCTATTTTATCTATCAAGGTAGGTGGCCTTGGTATATACTAGTGAAAATGATTCCAAAGGAAAGATCGTCTTGGGCTAGTGTCCCTTGGATGTTTCAATATATTGTTATATCTTATCCGCCATTCGGCAATCATGCCAAGATGGGAATTGAGAATTAGTGTCTCCATCCATTTACCCTTCTATTCGTGGAAGTGCCAGTCAGAACAAACGATCACCATTCGATCGTAGTTCAAATAGTTTTTTTTTGGTTGGGTACTTTGATAAAATATTAAATATTTTATATATATATATTAATATATACAGCAGATAGGGGGTTTTTGGAATTTGATTCTAGGGTCCTTGGTGATTTAGTTCTACCTCTGATTGTGTAATATATATTTTCCATTATTTATTTCTTTATCTATCTTATCTATCAAGGTAGGTGGCCTTGGTAAATACTAGTGAAAATGATCCCAAAGGAAAGATCGTCTTGGGTTAGTGTTCCTTGGATGTTTCAATATTATTAATTTTTATCCTTATTTCGGTAATCATGCCAAGATAGGGGTTGATAATTAGTCTCTCCATCCATTTACCCTTCTATTTATGGAAATGCCAATCAGGACAAACGATCACCATTCGATCGTAATTCAGATAGGTTTTTTTTTGGGGTTGGTACTTCGATAAAATATAAAATAAAACATTGTTATGCGACGGATATGCGATGCGACGGATACGGGGTTCCCCAAGCCAAAAGATCGGTAATTTTTTTTTTCCTAAATCTCAAAATCAAGGACCCCGAATCCTCTGCGGCAAAAATCATGGTAGAATATAATAGTAAGGCTGTTTCCCAAGTCCACATGCCAATTTCTGCACCCTGAGATCGGCATTTTTTTTTTTTTCCCTAAATCCCAGGGTACAACCTCTGTATTGCCCAAGTCCAGGTGCAGATTTTTGCGACCTTACTTAGGCAATACCCCACCAAACACCTAGGATATCGTCAATTTTTTTTTTCCTAACTCAGGGTGCTGATTTCTGCGCCCTGACTTCGGCAAATTAGCTGTTGGACATTGCATTTAAAGGATATATGATGTAGATATAGAAATAATGGGGGAAATTTAGTACTTGAAAAAAAATAATAATAATCAGGGATAACATTAACATTGGTGGCTTTATACCAAAGGTATATGGGGGCACCACCCTAGAAAAAACAAGAGCGTGGTTGATACCTTTTCCATTTTGATCCAGCAATTGGTTGGTACCCTTCAGAAATGGTAGTGGACCCCAATTAATCCAAGGAATATAATAAAATAAAATAACCCTAACCGTTACTGGGATGATATCAATTTAGCCAACCAAGTGGTTGCCTAAAAATGAACATAATAATGCACATAAAATTTTCTATGAATATGGTAAAAAACAAATAGTTATATTAAATAATCAATGGTAAGATGATACCCATTTAATCAACCAATTGGTTACCTCATAGGGAAAATAATATCTATAATACAATTCAATTCCACTATCATATATTAAATAATGGGAAAGATCCAAGAATTCATTTCCAGAGAATCCAGATCAATTATACAACATAGATATAATATATTCTATATTTTATCGAAATACCCAACCCCCCATAAAAAAAACTATTTGAACTACGATCAAATGGTAATCGTTTGTTCTGACTGGCACTTCCACAAATAGAAGGGTAAATGGATGGAGAGACTAATTATTAACCCCCATCTTGGTATGATTACCGAAAGAAGGATAAAAATTAATAATATTGAAACATCCAAGGGACACTAACCCAAGACGATCTTTCCTTTGGGATCATTTTCACTAATATTTACCAAGG